CTAGTAGGTTGGAGGCCATCGCTATTAGGGTGGAGGCCATTGCTAATAGGCAGTAGGTTGGAGGCCATTGCTAGTAGATTTTTCATTGTTTACCCAACAAAGTCCATCACTCCTGATGGCCGCCTCTAAACAAACAAAGATCCCATCCCAAATCGTCTCGAAATAATGTTCGAGGGGTGTTTAGGGAGGAGAATTCTTCTGGAATGGAGGAGATCTATAGTGAAGGAACTTTAGAAAACACATCCTCAACTTTATTTAGTGTCAGAGCATTTTAGGGATGTAAGCTGTCACGATGTGATAGCTAATCTTTGAACCAACTGAGTAGCTCCTTGTCTAACAATTTCCTTTTTTAACTAAAAGGAGCGGTCTTAAACAACATATTGTGAATTGACAGTCTTCAAAAACGGTGGAACAACCGTCGCTGTCATGTGCTGTTTCACTTCGGTACATGCCTAATGTTTATCTCCCCGTTACTTGCGCATTCAAGGGGAGGGTGGGTCGGTAAAAAACCCTTTGTGCTGAAATCAGCACTCCGCGCGTCGGGGGTTCACGGGTGCTCCGGATTTGGAGGCTTTCTCAGTCAGCCAGCTTTTACATTTGCTGACTCGTACTCCTCCTGCGACGACGACGCGGCGGCGACGACGACTACTACTACTAGTACCCTCACTACTACCTTTATTACTACGACCTGTGCTTCTACTACTACTACTACTACTACCACTACTACTACTATTACTACTACTCCTGCTGCTACTCCTACTACTTCTTCTACTACATCTACTACTACAACTACTAACTACTAACCACTAACTACTAACTACTAACTACTTACTACCTGCTACTTGCTACTTGCTGCTTGCTACTTGGTACTTGCTACTTGCTACTAACTACTAACGACTGCTACTACTACTACCACTTCTACTACTACTACTACAACAACTACTACTACTACAACTACAACTACTACAACTACTGCTACTCCTACTGCTACTGCTACTGCTACTGCTAACAACGACGACAACGACGACGACTACTACCTACTACCTACTACCTAGTACCTAGTAGCTACTACCTACTAGTACTGCTAGTACTGCTAGCACTACTAGTGCTACTACTAATACTAGCAGTAACAGTCGCAGTAGCAGTACTACTGCTAGTACTACTAGTACTACTACTACTACTACTACTACTACTACTACTACCACTACTCCTACTCCTACTCCTACTCCTGCTGCTGCTGCTGCTGCTGCTGAGGCTGCTGCTGCTACCACTACTACTACTGCTACACGGCGTGCTTCTCGTTCGAGTCGCCATCACTAGCATCACAACCGCCATGAATCTGGAGTTGAATCCCTTGGCAATTAAGAGTGCCTGAAAAGGAACTCCTAATAAATCAAAGTCAAGTCCCGCTTTGGAGTGCGTGTATCGACGTCATCCTTTCATATACACTGTTTATATCAAGCATACTGACAGAATTCTTTTGTTTAAAACCTCTTGATATATAAGATTGGTGGTTTCATTCGGGGTTCCTTTGCAAGTTGATTTTTTGGGCAACCGTTGATAGCATTTTCATACAGGGACGTCGGGTGGAGATTGTTCATTAAAACCTAACAAATAAACAACTAACATTCAATTGGAAACCCATCAAAAATCAATGAACTCAAGGGGATTCTACAAAGTCATTCAATATTATTGAACCGTTTCCATTTTTCAGTTGTATCTACTTTATCAACGAAATGTAGACCTTGATTTGCTTATTTAGGCTTATTTTTCACTTTCTCTTGACGAGCTTTCTAAGATGGCTCCGCTCAGCTGAGGCTTTGCCCAAACTTGCCCAGCCAAGTCAACATGGAGATCCTTGCGGCCAACACCAAAATTGCAGAGGCAAGGATGCTAATAGGGGCTCCTGGCACCTCTACTAGGAGCAAGATCGCTACTGGGGCTCCTGGCATCGCTACTAGGAGCAAGATCGCTACTAGGGGCTCCTAGCATCGCTACTAGGAGCAAGATCACTACTAGGGGTTGCTGGCATCGC